AAAATGATGAAAATTAATGTATGTATATATAATATATATGTAGATAATATAAAACATATATGTGTGTCTTAATGAAAACAATAAGAAATTTTAAATACTGGAATACTGTATTTGCATTTGAGTGTTGGATTTGGCCTTTTTTGAAAATTGTTATTATTTTCGTTATTTTGTTTTCATTTTTTCCAAATATAGGAAGAATCCATTACATTTACCTTATCAGTAGCATATATTATGTCATTATTGTCTGTAAATGACACATGTTGCTGTTAACTATGAGGTAACCATTTAAAAAGTTATTACTGAGATTCTGTTATAAAATAACACTCTGTTATAAAATAAATCAAAAACATGATTTATTTTACCCAGTAAAACTAGGTAGTTATGCTTTTAGTCAAAGTGTGGTAGCATCAGTTTAATTCTTATTCAGATAAGCATATTTTACTTTATGTAACCAAAAATACAAAAGTTTAAAGCTCCATGGCTACTATTACATTATATACCCATTGTTCATGACTTCTATCAGGTCTTGGCAGAAATGAGTAATGTATTATCTCTAACCTCCTTCTGTCTCCTGTGTAGGAAAGGGTGGGTTTAGAAACACCCACAGATGTGAACTGGTCATTAGAAGAAGTAGGAAATAAATGTTTCTTAGGCTTAGAAGTAGTACAAACTTGTAACTCTTGTCAGTTGCATATCTGGGACATATGATTAATTCTGTAATAGGCAGCCCATTACAGATATTCCTCCCATCTCATCCTCCCAATTTAGCTTAAATGTTATCTGGTAAATTCCTTAATAGATAGTGCACTTCAACTGAGTTAAATCAACATATTACCTGTGTATGTGTGTGTGCACACATGCTATTTAAAACATTAATAGGGACAGACCAAACAACAGCCCAACAGCGACCCATAACTCTGGGTAGATAGGACCCAGTGCAAGCAAATTTAAGCTGAAAGAGAATATTATCCTGATACTTAGCAATGACTTTCACTGAGAGCTGAGAAGGCAATATTAAGTAGTTAGTATGAAGGCACTAAACACATATTAGGTGATGAGTGGGTGGAGCTGGTATGGAAAAGGAGAGCAACATGTGCCAACTCCACTTTACTAATAGCTTTTAGGAAACATCTCAATTAAGAAAAAGGCAGAACAGAGGTTGTAAAGAGCTACAGAGCTGCGGAGTGATCGTAGAGGCAGAAGACGGCTACAAACTACATCAGGGAGAGATTTCTATAGTGGGAATGAAGGGATAGAAATTAGCATTCAGTGCCTACTATGTGTAAGAAAAATACAGACACACATGTCTGTGTACTTCTGTATATGTAGTATTACACATAAGATTTCTATAAGGCCCATATTATCAACCTTAATTTTCAAATAGAATAAAACAGAGAGTTCAATAACATGCAAATGGTCATACAAGAAGCAAGAAGCACAGCTGGACTGTTGAATGTTCTCCTCATTTTTCATATGGAGACAACAACAGAAAAGATTCCAGGTTAAAAAGAAAGCATGATATCTTTGAATGCAGAAGTAAGATAGGTAGAGACTTCCTCATTTCCTCCAGCTATTTAATGCTTGAATTGACTAGAACCCACCACTCCGTCCAGTTTCAACTCAAGGAAAAATAAGTAGGAATAACATCAAATACATTCCTCTGAGTGTCCCCAAGAGCCCTCCCCCCAACACATATTAATTTTAAAAACATAATATTGTTCAAAATGTACTGGTCAAATAATCAAATGCATCTATTTGGCTATAGTACAAGACATACTTAGGAACAGGTTATATGTGGCATAATTTTGAAGATACTGGAAAAACATTGCATCCAAAAAGAACTCTGTCCTATCTTCTTTCCTGTGACCTAAAATTCTATAAGTAGACATGCATTTGTCTTTTATTAGAATGCATATACTCATGAAATTTAATGTAGGGTAACTTTTGTCTAATTTTGAATGACTTGTGTTGCATTTTTTTTTCAGAAAAATGCTTTTCATCACTGGGAAGAAACACATGATACAAATGGGAGAAGGGACATGAGAGAAAAGAACTGTGGAAAGAAGAAAAAGAGGTGGAGATGATCAAGGCTTTGTCATTCTGCTCAGGGCATATCCTGTTACATCATTTTACAAAAGGACATTGTAGGGGAAATGACTTCTAACTGATCACATTATATCTGAAAGTTCAACAAGGTTGAAATTTTCCAAGTAGTCAGTTACATGAAAGTGCAAATGGTGAGTAGATCTGAAGGGTCAGGGATTACAACTGCTGCTTACACTGTTGTCTTTCACCTTCATACCTAATAGTTGCCTCTTTATCTTGCATGAATAATGTGATTCCTTGTCCTATCACTCTATGCATAAAATTACTTTTACCAAAGGGGCAAAAAAGCAATTCTCAATCTAATCCGTTTTGCAAATTTGACAGTGATATCAGAGAGCAGGAAGTTGTCTATGAGTAATGAGACACTGATCATTTGTTTAAATGTCAAACTTAAACTTCATCAACTTTCAGGGAATATGTCGGTAAAGAATGGGTTTCGGTTCAACCAGAGAGGATTTCTGTGTCATTTAGTCCTTAAGAAAATAGCTGTCAGTATCTTGAGAGCCCAGTGCTTTGAGTAAATTTTTCTTTTTAAGCTGAATTGAACTGGCCATTTCAGCACTTGGGGCTGTGGACAGTGCTCTTTTCCTTGACATTATGAAATACATAGAGGTGTTCCCTTCTTGAGACTAAAACACTCCTCAGGCTTGCAAACACGTATCCCTAAACTATGCAGTTGGATAGGCATCAATATTCTGTATAAGGCCAGAATAAAGTAACAGCAAAGGGAAACAAATTTCACCACAGAGATTAAGCCTGTAATAAAAATTAGGGAAGGGGAATAGTTGTGATTTGCAGCTATTCCTGCAAAACAGGTCAAATTTTTACCGCAATGCAATAACATTCCTCTCTGGATAGAATTTTGTTGGAGACAATGACAGAGCCATTAACCCTTCATGGTAATTTATTAACAGTGGACATAGATGCAAGAGAGAACAGGAAGTACATTTAATAGGCTTGCAGAGAACAAGGAGCAAAGAATTCATTCTCTCTATGCTTTCTAGCTCTAGAGTGGAATACCAATGGAGAATTCTGGATCTGAGCTCAGAAGAAATGCAGTTGAACTGAATTATGTTCTTTAATAAGCCATTTCATTTCTCTAAGTCTTGTTTCTTCTTCTGTCAAATGTGGGTTATTTTGAGGTTTAAATGAAGGTATATGTGAAGGAGTCTGGCACATGGTAGGTACTCAATGAATGTTCAATTTAGATTACTTATCATTAAGTGTTGACATAACACAGTGATATGTTTCTATGCTGGCGGCTATGTGTTTTAATAGTTGTAACTCTAAGAATGGATTCCAGGAAGGGAAATAAGAAAACCATTATTATTAACAGAATTATCCTTATAACAAAGCACCCTAAGTGTGTGTATTTTCACCTTCTTCCACCTTGTTTGCATCACCCAAAGATTCCCTTTAAGTTTACCTTTAAAACATCAACAAAATAAAAATAGCCTGAAAATAATACAGTATTATTTAAAGGAAAAAAAAAGTTTTCAGAGGATTTGTATCTCTCTTAAAAAAGATAATATTATACCAACTCTCCAGAATGCTTCTCAGTCACATACTACCAACTACTCTGTCTGCTGAATTGGTGAGAGAGTACTTTGAATGCTTCCTACCAGACTGACACATTTGGGGAGAGAAGGTAAAAACCAGATTAGTCCTGAAAACCGCTAAGTTCCTTATCATTCACCATTGCAGCTACAGATTCTTTGCTTTGGACTTCAAAGCCACTCAGCCTCTCTCACCTCACTCATCTTCCCTTTTTGTAACTGAAAATCAAGAGCATCTTATCCTAGCCGCCCCCCCAACCCTGTCTCCTCCTGTCATTTTTAACAGATTGCCTCCACACTGCCCTCTGCATTTGAAACGCCTCCCACTCTCCATTCATCAAGGTACACTCTCCTTCCATTCACAATTCATGTTAACTCGTCCCTCCCTTCCAAAGCTCCTTTTAAGTGTATTCCCCAGCTGCCCTAATAAAACTACATCATCACAGCCCCAATCCGCACTGTACCCCCTCCCCAACACTCAAACTGTGCCAAGCTGGGAAGCCCATGGGGAAATCTATGTTTGCATACGAACTCAGAGACAGGGAGTCTAGCGTTTAGTTTGGTCTTGTCTTTGGACCAAATAAAAAAATAAATAAATAAATTACGAAATTTCCCCCAAGCCTGTCAACAAGCATGCGGGGGAGGGGGGGGGGAGTGGTTGAGTGGATGAATGATGAATGGATGGATAGGCGGATGAATGGTTGAGATCTCTTTGGTACTTTTCTCAGATGCCCCTCCTTCTTGCCGGCTCCTGGCATGGTTCCTGTTTAATTTAGCTTCAGTGCGTGAGTGCACCTCGGTGCTTCGCCTCTGTCTCCGCTCCCTGCCTTTTCATTACCACCTTCAGACAGAGCCTAACCTCCTCGCCAAAGGGCACTCTACCTAGCTCACAAATCCTTTGTGACTTCAATGGCCACAGAGAGCTCGCTCCTTAGGAGCACGGCTTTGCCCTCTGCCAGTTTCACCTCTCCAGAAAGCCCCCGAAATCCCCTACTACGTACGTTACACAAAAGGATGACGAATTTCCCTATACTCAACAAAATCCACCTGGAGACCCTGTCCTTACCCCGCTCTCGCCACCTATAACCGAGATGATCGCGAAAGAAACGCGCTTCCCCTCTTCTCCCTGAAGAAAAAGAAATTACCATTCCAGGGCTTGGTCCTGGTTCCGAAAATCAGAAAACTTTTTTTTTTTTTTTTTAAATAGAAAACCCCACCCGGAGAGCAGCGACTGCTTTGTTTGCATCCCAGGGGGAGGGAGGGGTCTTCAGAGCCTTTGCAGCCTGGGGCGGAGGGGACGTGACAGCCCTCTGGAGGGCTGCCGGGGACCAGACTCACCCAGGACGTTCCCAATAAGAGCCACCACGAACACGATGATGTACCCAGCAATCAGGACCCACTCATATTCTTTCGGGTGTAGGTATTCCCTCCACAGGTACCGCAGGAATTCCTCGTCGTCATAGTCGGTGGGGTTCAAAAAGGGCTCTTGAGTTTCATTCAGCTCCGAAGCAGATGACCAGTTGCGACAAGGGGGGGAGTCCTCCAATTTGGTACCGGACATCACGGGCTCGAGTCCGGTTCCGCTCAGTGCAGCAAGACGCTCTTCGCCTGCCCCATGAGCACTGTGATTTGCGGTGCGAAAGGCGGCGCGGAGACGCGAGAAGGGGCTCCAGAGCAGAAAATGACGTGAAAAGTTACTGAGCCAATGCCTCCGGAGTCTTGTGCCGGGCAACTTCTGTGGCGGCTTCTCTGTCTTTCAGACGATTTTGCACCGCGAAGAGAGGTGGCCGAGGAACTAGGGACCAGGCACTGGAGGCTGCAGCAATGACACCGGGAGGAGAAAGCTACCTCGGGCTCGGCTCAGGCTCAATTACTGCTCATTCTGCACTGAGTCCGCAGCTCACAGCCTCCACCCGCGCTGAGGGAGAGCTGAATCCGAAGGGGGTTGGGGGGGGGGTGCGAGAGTCATAAAAATTGTTTAACCTATTTCTCCGTGGGTTAAATCTCCCGCGTTTCTACTTCTCTCTTCCATTTCTCACGTGCAATTTCCATAACCCATACACAGACATGTGTAGGTCTATGGACATAACGAGCATGTTCACTTATGGTTAATATAGGATTTGTTGATGCATTTGCCTTTTTAATGTCAACATAAAAGTAATGAAGAGGAGCCACTGTGTCCCTCAAGCAGGACTATGCAAAAGTCTTTTCAGACAAACATTTTCACATTTGTTTGGCTTTGCCAACTTAGCACTTGCTGAATCTTAAAGATATCACCTCCACTCTCCCTTCTCCAAACTGGGGAATGAGACATTTTTTGAATTGAAGGATATATTTAGCTGGAATTTGTACTTGCAACACCAAGTGTCCTAAGAAACACGGCAGCAAAACTTGAAGGACACAAGGGTCATAAATGTGCTAATAGTTAATGTTGTCAAGCAAAGGAGACATCCACATGTTTAACAGATTCTTAGGATGCTGTAGTAGTGTAAGCAAAAATGCTCTCTGGTGAATAGCACACCCCACTGGTCTTTCTTCTTACTGACTCAGGGCTGATGTCACCTGCCACTCTCTAATGTAATTGATTTAGTTTCTAAGAAGAATATTTTGGGATTCATCACAGTGTGAGTCCAGGATCCTTTCATTCTCAATATCCACAATAGGAATATAGCATTTGATTATATTCTAGACATGGGGAGAGCCTCTAACATCACCAAGCCTGAACTCTGGCTAATATTAGCAGCCTTCTAATACATTGCTGATGTTTTCCCAACTAGTTTGGATGGACCACCTCAATTTATATGACTTCCACTATTATGGGACTGCTCTGAAGGTGAGAAAACTTCTCCTTCCATTAAAATAATGTCTTAAACCAACATCTAATTTTCTTAGTCTTCTATCCTCAATACCTAGTTTGCTTCTTGGTGCTACGCGGAATGTCTTCCACGTGACAATCCTTCACATATTTAAAATAAGTATCACAGTCCCCTTCCCTTTCCTCACTTTTTCCCTGATGCCACAAATATCTGTATCTAATTATCTTTTTCAAATGTCACAAGACACTGCTGGTTTATATTGAATGTTAAGTCAATCCTCCTAGCCCGATGCTAATCATAATTCTTCACAGTTATTTTGTACTTTATAGTTGAAAAATTTTTTCATACACATTATTTTAAAACCACTGAGAAGCTGACCTGACTAGCCTGTTTTACAGATGAGGAAACTGTTCTGGAGAAATTACATGATTACCAAAGGTCAAGTGACTAATCTGTGGCAAGACCATCCATTCGGTTCTTCTGATCCTAGCTTGGAGTTTCTATTATTCTACAGATGTCATATTTCACAAGAAATACTATTGTTATATTTTTCCCATCTACACTAGTCATTTTTTTTTAAAGATTTGTTTGAGAGAAAGAAAAACAGAACATGAATGGGGGGAGGGGCAGAGGAAAGGGGAGAGGCAGGTTCCCCACTGAGCAGGGGCTCCATCCCAGGACCCTGAGATCATGACCCGAGCCAAAGGCAGACACTTAATCAACTGAGCCACCCAGGTACCCCAAGCATGTTATTTTTTAAGAGAGGAAAATAAATAGGCATTTGATTTCTTTGACAAATATTTACATGGTGTTTCTATTCTACTCTCAGTGAAACAAGTTAAACAAGGTTACCACTTTCATGTACTTTACTTTCTAGGGAAGTTAGAAAGGGAACAAGTCAACTAATGAATGCATAAGAAAATAATAGAAAGGGATAAACGTTATGATGAAAACAAAGTAGGGTGAAGTGATGGTGAGTGGAGCATCCCAAAGGCCATGTTAGAAACAGATGGTCAAAAAGGCCTGTGTGAAGAGGTGACAGCTAAGTTGGATACCCAAATGATGTATGCATATATTAATTTTGTTAATTTGGGGTTTAACGAGGTCTTAAATACTGCTGCTATTATCCAAAGCATTAGCCATTTCACCAGACCTCCTGTCATCAGTAAATTTAACAAGCAGGCCTTCTGTGGCTTCATTCAGGTTCACTGATACAAATCTGCTAACTTTATCCTGTGGTATAATGTATCCCTCTGATTTATTAATGTCTTTTTTTCCTCTTCCATGTACAATTCTTTTAAAAAAATGGGAAAGGTTGTGGCTACTCTAGTTGCAATCTATATTCATTAACATCTTCAAATTACTTATCATAGACAATCTACAAATATGGACCCAATATGCTGTTTTCTGTACTCAGTGCATTTAGGGTTATCGTGTGTGTGGCCCTTCAACTTGTTTATAATTAAGTCTGTTCTTTTTAAGTCCTCTACCTGCAATTCATCATCACTCTTTACTAAAAGTATAAATAAGGAGAAAGGAGAATAGTTTCAAGATTTTGTTCTGATATCTGCTTTTTGTTGTGACAAGCCTGGATTGATCTTGAGAAGTATTCCATTTCTTTCTGTCCATAATTTATTGGGCATTTTATTTTAAATACATGGTACTCTATTACCATACAAAAATTCACCCAAATCTTCAAATTATTATTTTATGTTTTGTAAACATGTTAAAGATGATAAATATTATAGTACTCATTTTGATGCGATGTCCTCCTTTAGATCTCTTGGTATCTTTTAAGGCATTTGAAAATAATTATTAGTTCTATAGGTATTCTTTTCTTCACTTCAAAATCTTTCTGTTGGTTGTATGGAAAAGGAGTCAGCGTGATATGGCATGACAATTAAGAAAAAAAATTCCAAATTTGTCTAATGATGACTTCTTAAGGTTGTTATCAGAATTTAATGAATTGATTATTTTTAGAACAGTGTCTGGTATATAGAAGGAATCTGAAAATGTTTGTAGGATAAAATTTAAAACTATGTGATTGAAAGGTGTGAATATTATTTGCTTTACATATCAATTTCTCTAAGTGTTTGTATTTAAAAAAAAAGAGAGAAATGTAGCTCACAATAGCCTGAGTTTAACTACCCATCTTATATCTTTTTCTGTTGCTTTTAGCTCTTTGACTAAATATTATATTATATATTAAAATATATATATTAAATATTAAAAGTGAGAAATAAAAAGAAAACTCAAAGCCAGATTTTTTTTCCCTCAGTGGTAGTGGTTAGGTTGTTCAGAGATCTCAGATTACTAGGGTTGTCCCAGATTTTATATTCTTACTCCTGATGCCAGACTATACTTTTCACAGCCTATAACTTTATAAACCCTTTTCATGAAATATTTCTGAGTATTCCCTATGTGCCCAGGAGTTTAGTTAAGAGCTGGAGGCATAAAGATCAGTAAGACATAGTCTAGCCTCAATGATCTTATAATGCACCAGAGAATTAGAAATGTTATGATTATAGAATCACTCTGGGAGTTTCTAGGGTAGAAGGATGCAGAGAGTGTCATGAGAACATAAAAGAACACCTAATTCAGCCTGGAGAAAACCAAAATGGATGGCTCCCCCACAGGGAAAGTCACTCTTGAGCTGATTCCTTTAAGAGAAAGAGATTGCTAATTGGTTAGGGATGGGAAGTGTTCAGGCAGGGAGGGCAGGATTTCCTGAAGACAGAAGCAGGAGAAAACATGGAGCGTATAGACAAAAGCAAGGTAAAGTGAACAAGGTCAGGCTTTCTCAACATCTCTGGCAATGATGTAGAAAATGGATTACAGACAGTAAGACTGAAGACAGGGTACTAGGTAGGAGAGTAATATAATAATCCTGTCACAAGGGAGATAGTGGTTCTAAAGATTGAGAAGAGATGGGTGTTATAAAAAAAAAAAAAAAAAAAAACAATGGTTTGAATAGATATCATCCAGAATACAGCAATCTTGTTTTACTTTCTTGAAGAAGGCTGACTACATGGTAATAGGATGTTTGAAGTTTATTTCTCTGTTTTGCTATGTATTTTGAAGAATAAATTGAAGAAAGCAACAGAGAAGTGTCCCCTGATTGAAAAGAAGTTGTTTTCCTTCCTTCTTTTCTGTTGGAAAGAAAATAAAATCAAGTCTGAGCACTCTCCATAATGACTGTACTGAGCTTGCATATTATAACCCAAATAAATGCATTAGTTTTGCAGGAAGTTATCTGACATCTCTAGACTCCAAACACCACATTTTCTTATAATATGGCCTTGTTAAATCTTTCTGGAAAAGTCCCTGGTCCATGGGAGGACCTAGCAATCTGTTTTTCAAGAAAAATAAGGGAAAGGGACCTCTGATAACTTATTCCTCTTAGGAGAAACTCTTGAGTGTGTTACTGAGGATGAAACAACTTCATGCCCCAGAAAACTGAGACTTTTTTTTTTCAGGTAAAATGAATTTATTTAAAACAAGATATTATTTTATTTTTTTATTTTTATACATATATATATTATTTTATTTTTACAACTTAAAATTGTATTCGCTATGACAAGGCTCATAGCAGCAATGTCCACAATAACCAAACTGTAGAAGGAGACGAGATGCCCTTCAACAGACGAATGGATAAAGATGATGTAGTCCATATATACAGTGGAATATTGCTCAGCCATCAGAAAGGATGAATACCCAACATTTGCTTCAACATGGATGGAACTGGAGGAGCTTATGCTGAGTGAAATAAGTCAAGCAGAGAAAGTTTATTATTATATGGTTTCACTTATTTGTGGAACATTAGGAATAACATGGAGGATATTAGGAGAAGGAAGGGAAAAATGAAGGGAGAGAAACCAGGGCAGGGATGAACCATGAGAGACTATGGACTCCAAGAAACAAACAGGGTTTTACAGGGGTGGGGATTGGGGGGACAGGTTAGCCTGGTGATGGGTATTAAGGAGGGCATGTATTGC